TTAAAACCTTAACGGGACCAGGCGCTTCCAGGTCCCGGACTCGCACGATATGGAAATCAGATGCAGAGCCCGGGAAGAGCATCAGCGCCTGGCTTTTAAGGTGGGCTGGGAATAGGGAGCAGGTGCATAGAATAAAGTCCTTAGTGAAAGGGCTGGAGCACCCTTAAGGAGGGGGGACTATAATCGTGACAGGCACATACTATACAGTAGGACAGGTTTCCTCACAATGGGAGAAAACAAGCCAGTTGTGGTCTCAGGTTCAATGTAGGCCATCTCTCCAGGCAATGTGTTTGTGTTACAATAATTATAATACATCATCCCCTGTCCAAGATTATTGAAATAAATGATATTTTTCATTTGAAAACATATACTAAGGAACAATCTGATCTCGCCAGACTTGCCCACATTAACTCAGAAAACAAACTTACAGTATACGGTATAAGATATTTTTAGATCTCAAAGTCTCTACAAGTGCAAACATAAGCATAATATCGTAAATTTGTATCTGCTAAAAGCAATAGAAACTAAAGATTCAAAAGATCTATTTTAAAAGACCCTGTCTTCAGGCGGAGTGGCCTAGGAGTTTTCCTATTTTTCTTCCTCTCAGGAATTCCAACACACTATGTGCTAATGGAGTTATCCAGCATCAGGGTTTCACTCAGGGAATGGATATAATAAAAAAATCCTTGCTTAACTACTAAAGATCTTTCCTCAAGTGTCCTGAATAGTGCCTAAAGCTAGTCTCCCCAGTATCGCAAAGGCTAGTATTTATACAGAGCACTCTGACCTTTAATCCCAGCAGTGGTACATTAATTTGGTCCACTTTCAGTAGTTACAATTTTGTTCATATTTTGGTGGTAAACTGGCTTGGCCAGGCCTACTGTATCAGTTATATTATATTGGCAGTAATTGGACTTTAACAGTAGAAGTAGAAGTCTTTGCCAAAATCCAGACAACCTTCAACATATTCTACTCCATCTCAGTGCATAAAACAGAAGAAGAGTCTAGAGAAGGTGATGATAAATTATTAATACAAATACATTTTGTGTGAAATCACTATGTTTTTTTAGTTAACAATGTCAAAACTTTCAAATTAATCTATGGTCAGAATTAACTACAGTAAGTTTACCTTTCCAGGATTTAAATTGTTTAAATTAATATTACACAATTCAGTATAGTTCCTATAAAAAGTATCATTGAAGTCTCACATTTTATGTCAGTGCCACAGAGTTTCATGCATTTTATTGATAATATAAAACTGAAATATCATAACTGGATAAGTTTCCAGCCCTGATTTAATACTTGGTGGAAGCATGTCTGGTAGCAGTTACAGATGGTAGTCTGTTGGGATGGGATTCTACTAAGCTTGAACAAAACATTTTGCTACAGTACAGTACACCTCTATAGAATGTAAATAGAAATCAAAGAATTAAAGGTGGGTTTACTTGAGTATTGGCTTCCTTCTTGTCATCTTTCCACAGACGCCAGATTTGTGGACTGCTTGGGATAATGTTGTCAGTTGTACATTCTACCGACCTTAAAAGCATATACAGTAGAGATTTCTAAGTTGCCATTGGCCTCTTTGTAACCTCTCTGATCAGTCTCCTTCTTGCTCTGTCATCCAGTTTCGAGGGACAGCCTTATCTCAGCAGGATGATCTTGGTGGTGTCATACAGTATACCTCCCACTTCTTAATAATGATCTTGACCATGTTCCAAAGGATAGTCAAGGTCTTTGTATTATTTTATACCTATCCCCTGATCGCTGCTTTTCCAAAGCTTTACGTTGAAGTTCTTTTGAAAGTTTCTTATTGCTCATGGTTGGGTCTTTATTTTAAAATACACTATCCAGCAGAGAGATCATAAAAGAGCTGTTGAATTTATCCTGAAATTATGTGAATGACAACATTTGGAAGACACTTAACTTGGTTTGTGATTTTGATGGAGACTGGATAGACCTGAGATAATTTAGGATTGCTATTACAAGTGGTAGATTAAGGTGATCAGAGGCCCCTAGGCTACATGAGAAAATACTATAATGATTCAGTGATGCTTTCAGAGTAAGAGCCTCCTACTGCCGATTCAAAGGAATATGACGCGGCACACGCAGGGAACACACACGTACACAGGGAGCCCACACTTTATACTATAGCACTATATGCACTACTATAGCCTGTAATGTAAATACAGCAATGCAACCAGTAAATCAGATTCACAGCCAGTCTGCGAGCTAACAACAGAAATCATGTGCACGCTTGCTTTGAGACCAACCATATGCAACTACAACAACAACAAGATCCACCCTGGGTGAGCACATTATTTCAAGAACAGCACCAACAATCACAGGACACTTCCAAGTCATGCACAGGGGAGTAGTCATTACAGTAACAATAATTCTGGCCAGTCAGGGGCCCTGATCAATCTGGGCTCCTAGGCTACAGCCTATGCCAGCCTGTTCGTTAATCCACCCTAGGGCATAGAAACATGTCCAACCAAGCTATTTCAGTTTTTAATTATTTTTTCTTAATTATTTTAAATTCATTAATAAATTTAAGTAAAGTTTCCAGAAATGTTCTTTCACTTGGAAGTAATGAGGTAGGATGTATAGATGAATAAAAATAAAACAATTTCAATACATTTTAAGTACAGGTTATAAGGCAATGGATCATTTGAAAAGGGGTGTAGAGTTTTTCTAAGCACTGCATCTGCTTCACTTAAATAAGATCAATCTTATTTAAATAACAGAAGAAACCAAATGTATAATGATAACATTAATATTGTTACAGCTTGAGGTGACTAAGAAGTTCAGATAAAGTTTGTCACACCTGGCAGAGTAAACACTTCTAGCTTCAAAGCAGAGAAGATGTTTGCTGAGATGTGGGGGGGTCCCTTGAGCAAAAGCAATTGTAAGGTGTACCTTGGTATAACTTCTGTCATGAAGTCATGGGTATATGATTGTCAATGAGCAGTACAGAAACACACAATATTAGATCACATTAAGAACATTAAGAACACAGGGAGATGAAGAAGAAGATAGAGGAGATACAACAAGGGGAGAGGAAGAGGAGAAAAGGAAGGTCAGGGATAGAATAGAATAGGGAAACAGGCTCCCATTTATTCTGAGGCATCCGGAGTACAGAGAGAGAGATTTAATTGCAGGTTGAATTGCATTCATTTAGAAAGGCGGCTTAAGTCTTATTTGGCCTCTGTAGGCATTAAGGTTTTCATACTTAGTAGACGTCTGGGGGTTTTCTGAGTTATTAGGATGTCAGGCCTCTGAAATACTTTGTTTATAAATACTGTGCATAGAGTAACTTGTGTGTCCTATGTTTTGTGTAGTAAAGTGTTTGTCTTGTCATCTTTAGTAAATATTTGTTTAACCAAGTGTGCCTGGATTGTTACTCTTTTCAACAAAAAGTGAATAAAGAATTCACGTGCCTCTATTTATACCAACCCTGCAGGTATATTCTGGAAAAATCACTTACAAGTAGGGGGTTATGAATATTTTATTATTGACTAAGCCGCTTGGTCAATTCCTGATTTTCACCATTTTCGTAAAGCCCCATGTGTAACAATATAAACAATCACACACATATTAAACAATGTAATTTCTTGCAAATGGATGAATGTACAGTAGGATGCAGAACATGTTCTCTCAAATTTAACTTAAATGAAAAAAAGCTCCATACCTTACTAAACCAGTAAGAATCTGGAATTGGTACGTGATCCGTTCGGTATCCCTTGTTTCTCCTCCGGCTGTAAACAATGGATGTCAGGTCAGGGAAATTTCTATTGAGATCGATGTTCTGTGCATTTGCTCTTCCACTGGTCCAGCCATTATACCTGTGACCCTAAATATTTCACATGATGAAAATGAAAAACAATATTTTTGGAACATTTAGGGCTGGTTTCACACAGCCTGATTAGCACTAATCTTGAACTACCTAAATGTTCATTTAGGTACACTATTCAAAGACTAGTAACCAATCAGTATCTGTGAAATCAGCCCTTCGAATTTTACTGTTAGTTTGGAAGTATTCAATTAGATTAAAAGATTTATTGCTCATTGCTTAATGGGATTTTGTAATGACTTGTCAGAGGATAGTAACAGAGAGAAAACCCTCTGTGCTCAGAAGAGGCCAGCATCCCAGGATTTGTGATGCTCAGGCACAGCAGGGAACCTGAATCTTAAAAAATGTACAGGGAAATGATATCTTTGTGCCTTTGAATAAACCAAACAGCCATTTATAAAGATTATTTTATTAAATACTGAAAATCAAGGAAGACTCTCACACTTGCAACTTAATTAAAACTTATTGAGGTTTCATCATTAAAGTTATAAATCAAGGCTCTCCAACCCTGATCCTGGAGAGCGCTAATCTAAAAGGTATTATACTGTAGGTAAAGATGAAATCATCAACATCTAAAACTGAGGAATGTTTTTTTTTTCATAATCAATTAGACTGGTAATATGTTAAATTCAGTCATTCAGAGTTCACTGGGAAAACAAACCTGATTATCCATGAACCTGATTAATGGCCAGAGCTCTTTGGATTGAATAAATTAATCAATAACTTCCAAGTGGTCCTAATCGAGAACAAATAAAAATATAATAAGAATGGTAATTTAGAGATTCCTATTTGACGTATTGGATTGGTACTCTCTAGGCCCAGCATTGAAAACTCCAGCATTGAAAATTTTAGCTGGAGACTTCCTTAACTCTCAGTTTCTGCTTTCCATATATTTTTTTTCCCTTAAGGGAAATAAAAAAGGTTTACATTTCATTGTTTACAAACAGGACAATTCTTTTTAAAAGGCATTATAAAGTAACCCTTCACTGTACATATTTAAGGTAATTAGACCAACACGGCTCAGAGTTCTTTCCAATCTCCAATTGAAGAAAAATGTAAAATGATCATTGTAAATGTAGAATTTTAATTAAAACCAACAACTTCTCAAAAAAACTGGAGGAACAAAATTCCTTCTTCCTTTCAAGATACATCTCTCTCTGCGTTTCATTGTTTATTGTTCTTCAACCATTTTCCATCAAACAGTTTGTCAGTGCATTTCTTATTCTGCTTTTTCTTTTAAAAACCCTGCACATACAATACAGTACAGTCTTGTAACTGTACTTTACAAGTGTGTTTGACATGTTAAATATTTTGTCTTAAACATTTCTTTTCCCCTTTAATCTAAGCTTTTCTCCATTATTTTATTCTATATTGTATTATTTATAACCTAGAATATGACAAATCATTTAATCAGAAGTAATGTTGTGTTTGTAAGGTTAATGTGAAGAAAAAATTAAATCAAAATGTTTTTCCTTTTAATGACTTTGGAGGCTTAAAGCTAAAGAAATTAAAAATATATATTTAATTATGCATGTTCTGTTCAAAATTTTGATTTACATTACAATAGAAATTCACAGGCTTTGTGATTAATAGATAAAACATTGTTCTTCCATGATATATTTGAATAATAAATTCAACATTATAAACCTAAAGATGTTTATAGTTGGTATCTTATTATTTATAGTATTGAGTTAAAATGAAAAAAAAAACATGTTTATGTATACCTGGAAGATACATTTAAAACTTATAAAATTATTTAGAAATCTATTAAATTTCTTTGTTATTTAATAATTTATTTTCTTTTTGTCCGTGGTGGCCATTTGTATAAAAAGAGAAAATACTCCTCTATTTTGCAGTAATGTTAAACTACTGTTGCACTTTTATTAGTTGACTATGTTAAAAATTAGTGATTAAAGGTAAGAAAGGTTTAGGAAATCAACAAGTTAGTTGAATCGATGTATTTTGTGAGTCTCATGGCCACTCCCACTGCCAGCTGAAGCATCACTGAAGCATTATTCTATTTTTATTTCTAATTAGAGAATTATTCTAACATTCTAATAGCACTGGTGACTTTTGAAAAATCGTTTAGGAAACCGGTGCTAACTGCTATGTTGCATCTTTTTTTCTCTTGTTCTTGATTCGGTTACACAGTCTGGTAGTGGGGGACCTTGCTGAAGCAGCAGAGCGTCAGAGAGGATCCGTAGTGTATCTTGAGAACTGATATTTACTTCATCTTGTTCCTGCTCATTGGTATCCTCTACCTCTGCAGCAGCTAACTCATATCCATCAGGATTCATTGAGGGGAAGAGATGAATTCTGGTGTTATTGATTAGAGTCTGGATTCTCTCATTTCCTAGCTGGTACTCTGAGCACAAATACTGGGCTAGGTAGATCAAGAGCTGCCTTCCGAGCACTTCATTTCCATGCATGTTGGCAATGTATTTCACTTCAGGCTCCACTGTGAAGAACAAGAGCATAAAACACCGGGGTAAAAGTTAAAGATACAAACTGCCAAATAATTATTAGTCCTTCATTTTTAATGAGTCAAGACTCACCTGTAATTCTTACAATTCAAACAACGTGACCTCAGATTTTCAGACAAAATACCTACCAGTACAATTATATCAGAATCCAAATCATTTAGGCTTATACTGTAGGTCAGAGATCTTTCCGAACTGAATGCTCTTGTACTTAAATCATTGAAAAAGTCACCATAATGTACAGTATGTGTTAAAACAGCAGAGTATTTTTGTTGTATTGTACTGATATACAGTAAGACTTTATATGGTGATAAGACAGAGCATGGGATATATATTTGGTACAAAATCTAATCTGAGGAAGGGAAGCTCATGACCTTCCACTGGAACTTGAACTCTTATTCATGATGCCTGATATTGATCACATCATTCATCTGCTCATTAAATTAGCAGCTCACAAGTGCTGCATTTCATACTAAATCAATATCCTGTCTGGCACAAATGTACTTCCAAGTTAATTTACAGAGTGTGGGCATCCATGTTTCCTGTTGCTTGCTTGTATATCCGTGCCTAATAAATTAATCTGAGTGGATTGAACATTTGGATTTCATTCATCCGTTTTTGACACTTTACTCTGTTGTGAGATTATCAGTCACATACAGTATACTGTATGCCACGTGTATCAAAATATAAATACTATATAACCTTTCACAAACATTTTTATTATTTGAATCTCAGTGGCCTTCATGTTGACTCAATTCTGTTCTTGCGTTAGTGTGCACAGGTATTTTCATTTTTCACAAAATCACAAAATAATTTACTTACACAACTCATGCTGCCCTGGGTTATCTGAAAACTCAATTACAAGAAGGTCCTTCCCTTCAAAACTTCGACCAATACTGTACGTTCTTGAAATGTCAGAACATCTTGCTGCTGTCTTTTTTAACACATTCTCCATTTGTAAGTGAGAATGGTAGGTAAACTGAATGATAGTTGAAGGCTCTTCAGGAGAAATGCTAGCAAGGGCAACTTCTTGTTTTTCTGAAAAACATGCAACATACACAAGTTTTGTAATCTAACGGAACAGTGATTACCAACAGTTTTATACATAATTAAATTATTGTTTCACAGTAATGTTCTTACACTTATATATTTAAATTTGGATTCACCATAGATTTTGAAATGCCACTGCAAGACTCATGTATCAGTAAAGTCAAAATAGCTCATATACAGTACCAATGGGACCAGTCTACAGTACATCAAGTTGAAAATGCCGGGTAATATGCTGAAGAATCAAAAATGCCTAAATAATTTGTGTAAGATTATGACTTCTACTAGTTCAGCTTTTTGTCTCCCTTTTTACTAGAATGGCTTGTCATTCTTGTTATGTCTAGTAAAGTTGTATTCTGAAAGGCTAACTGACATATACTGTACAGTATATACAGTATATATACTGTAGCTGACTTCAGAAAACACACTTTCCATCTTTTAAGTGATTTCTTAACTCAAAGCTCTTTTATAACATCTGCATCATAATGTTCCACAACAATTTACTATCCTTCTATCTTTTTTACTGCAGAGAATATAACATGATTTCAGACATTAAGGAAAATCTATTAATTTAAACTCCCCCAGTGCCTTAGGCTGATTAAGTAAAGAAATTAATTTGATACTGAATATCATTTCAGTCATGGAAACAATGAATTACTCTGAAAATAGCTGGCAAGCACTTTTCCTTTCTTACTTATTTTTAATTGCTATAAACTCAATCTGACAAAGGATATTATAGTGTAATAAAAGTTTTACTCCAAACAGATGAACCACATTTTTGGGAAAAATATAATACTTTGCCTATGGAAAAACACCTTTATATAAAAAACCTGTGTAAATTATTAATATGAATACTTTAATATAATTAGTAGTCTTATTATAATTATTATCATTGTTGTTGTATTTATTTCCATTTTGTTTCTAATGTTCTCATCATTAAATTATACTATCACAAACAGTATTTACAGTGGCCATCATTTTTTCAAAGCTGTGATTGCAAAACTTTTTCAGGCAGCATTATTATGAGGATCACTGTGTTAAATTTCCAAGTGATTTTAGAATTGCTATTGCAGAGGGAATGTTAGAAAAGAAACAGGGGTCTCCCCGACCCTGCAGCCCACATACCCCTACTATAATCTGGGTTTAGGCGTTAACCAGCTGTGCATAAGGTCCCCAGGAGCCAGTGTACCAACTGAATCTAAGATCCCCAAGTGCCATTGTACCACAGGCCATTATACCAACAATAACTAAGATTCCCAAGGTAGCATAGTACCATAGGCTGAGTGCCACTAGGCCTGGGATAGCAGTCAGCTAGATGTTCCTAGTTTTCTGAACAACATCGGCTCCTTGTGGCTTGCTGGGTTTGCTGGGCACCTGTGGTGGTTTTGATGCTGCTGTCAATGAGAGCTGTGTTACTGCTTTAGTTAATGCGAACTGTACTGTCTTCAGCTTGAGGCTTACAGGACTGAAAAAGAGCAGTGTAGGGTTTGGAGGAAATCAGCCTTCACCTCTCCCACGCCAGAACGATTCCTGTACTGTTATATGAGTAAAATAACAATTAGGGATTCAAAATCCATAATACTCTGTATATGTGAAGCGGGAGGGGAAGGAACCTCCCATAAATTTCATTGTTCATCTGATTCTGAATTCTTAAAATTGAATCACATCAGTGATTGTCAGACTTTAATGATGTTTCTGTCACGCCCAGTACACTTAGAGGACGCTCTACTTCTCTCCTGTTCCTAGTTCCCTGTGATAATTCATGTCTTTCTGGTGTGTCTTGTTGTGTAGCCTATTTACTTCCTGCTTCTGCTCTGTTGCTCAGCATCTGTTGCTCAGCATTGAGGTTCAGATGTCCTGAAACCTGCCTAGTACCAGGTCGCCCCATGTCCTCTACCTGAGGGCATAGGTTTCTATAAGGCATTTCCTGAACAGCTGAGCCCGGGCTAACCCCCATCTCGCCGCTATGCATAGGGTCTTTTTCACTCTCCTGCCATTCCGCGGTTCGTCCTTTCCGACATCCGTGACAGAATGCTGAGCCTACTCTAGTCCCCGTAAGCGTTTTTTTTTTGTTTTGTGTTCTGGCTTTAGTTTTTTTTTCTTTACTCTTGGCATGCCCCCTGCCCTCCCTCTCTGTTGTGGGTTATTTCTTCTACGTGTTGTTTGTTCCCCTGTTCCGTCAGGATTTATATATTTTGCATGTTTTGTCTCTGTCCCTGGCTCCCACGCCCCCTGCTGCTTCCATGTTCCGGTCTCCCTGGCTCCGGGCTCCCACGCCCCCAGCTGCTTCCATGTTCCGGTCTCCCTGGCTCCGGGCTCCCACGCCCCCTGCTGCTTCCGTGTTCCAGGCTCCCAGGCCCCCTGGTCTGGCTTCCATGCCCTTATGTGTTATTTGTTCCCCTGTTCCGTCAGGGTTTATTTTAGTTGCTCATGACTTTTTGCTTGTTCGGTTGTTGTTTTTTTGTCTTGCTCCTCCGGAGCTCAGTCTTGCCCCCCCTTCCTCTACTCAGTAAATGTTTTTTTACCCCGGAGGAGGGGGTAGCTCTCAGCCGTGGACTCCCGGAGGTTTCCTTTCAGTTAAATTAGGTTTTTCCTCCCCCCAGTGCTGTGCAGCTCTTTTTTGGGCGTCAGGTGCCGCCTTTAAAAGGGGGGGTACTGTCACGCCCAGTACACCTAGTAGGGTGCTCTACTTCTCTTCTGTTCCTAGTTCCCTGTGATTATTCACATTTTCCGGGTGTGTCTTGTTGTGTAGCCTATTTATTTCCTGCTTCTGCTCTTCTCCTCGCTCAGCACTGAGGTTCGGATGTCCTGAAACCTGCCTAGCACCAGGTTGCCCCACGTCCTCTACCTGAGGGCATAGGTTTCTATAAGGCATTTCCTGAACAGCTGAGCCCGGGCTAACCCCCATCTTGCCGCTATGCATAGGGTCTTTTTCGCTCTCCTGCCATTCCACGGTTCATCCCTTCTGACATCCGTGATATTGGGGATGTAACAGTAACATACTGCTGTGTTTAAAGTATGATGATAGCATGTTACCCACTTACAAGATTTTAAGGTGAAAGTTTCAAAATCAAACTAGGAGGATAATCTGTAGATTAACCATTTAAGACCCGCATTGTGCATTAAATTGTCATTAAAAGTGCATTAAAGGTATGCTTTCCAATGGAAAGTGTCTGTCAAACACCACTTTTCTCTTTCTTTTTTTCTGTAAAGATGGAAATGTACAGTATCTGTTTGCTTTTCTTTGGATTGCTTCCAGAGCAGCAATATTTTTGTATTTTGGTGATCAAAACTATATACAATATTCTCAATAAACAAGGTTTTACTTGACAGTTTTAGTTTCACTCCATTTGCATTATAAGCTTACTGTATATCCACATATACTTATATTCTGCTTGCCTTTTTATTGACTTCCAGCAGTGTCTATAAAATGAAAATAGTGTCTACATAAAGAGTCCTAAAAGTCAGGTTTTCTCATAAATAGTCCCTTCAAGTATGTCCTATTTTATATTGTAGCTGATGTTTTCGCTATCTGCATGCCATTCTGCACCTGACTTCATTAGATGTCATCTGGAAGGTGTTAGCACAGTCTCAAATGTGATCTAAGAGTTTTGAATTTCTATGGTGTTTAATTCCCAAACTTGACTAGCATCTTCACTATGCTTCTTTAAAATATGTTTGGCATTCATTTCTTAGTCAGTATAATGAATATTTCATACCCTATTATATCTTCTAGGAAACAGATTAAAAAACAACATACAGATTTTTGTAATCTAGAAAATAAATTTAAGGTCTGAGTGTCGTGTGTCTTGTGTTAATTAACTGAACCTGTAATTTATTTTTAATACCTGCCTAGTTTTACAAGAATCAGGCATTAGTTTGTAAACATTTGTGTCCCAGGTGTGTGTTTTAAATTCAAGTGTCCCTTTCGTAGGTTTTCACTCAACAGATTTTAAATTGACTTCCAGGTGGTGTTTTGTCAATTAGCTTAAGAATGTTGCAGAGTTACACAGAAACTGAACATAAACTAATTAGGTGAAGCTGTTCCAGTAAGCATTGAAAACTAATAAGCATTAATATTATAGGTGTAACGAACAGTTCTTTCCGGACCCTATGCGGACGACACAGTCCGACGGAGTGGGGAAACACTAGGGAAACGTCATGCAGGAAAACGGGGCTGAAGACAGGGGGGCGTGTCCAAGGTGCGCTGGTGCACGGGGGAGGTGTGGCCGAGGCTAACAATCCGAGAGAGTAGTCCTTTGGGAATATCCAAAAACACACGAGAAAGTCCAAAACCAGAAGATCCATCAGAAGAAGGAATTAAAAACCACGAAGGCCGGGTCGGAACCGGCGGATGGGGAACAGGAACGGGAACAGAGGTTAAAACCTTAACGGGACCAGGCGCTTCCAGGTCCCGGACTCGCATGATATGGAAATCAGATGCAGAGCCCGGGTGAGCGTCAGCGCCTGGCTTTTAAGATGGGCTGGGAATGGGAAACAGGTGCAGAGAATAAAGTCTTAAGTGAAAGGGCTGGAGCACCCTTAAGGAGGGGGAACTATAATCATGACAATAGGTGATTATTAAATTGAGTTTTCATAAACAATTCAATTAAGTTTGAAAATATTGTTTCTTAATTAAAACATCAAATTCAATACATTTTTTATAAAATATACAGACAATAATGAAAATTGGATAGAGAATGATCTTTTAGCAATTTTTTAAAATGTTATGTAAATTGCATTACCCTAAACTGTACGGTTCAGTAATTAAGCACAAAATAAAATATGACTTCTGTACAGGCTATTCTCAATTTTCAGCATTTGATACACAGATAAAACCACGTACACGGGAACAAAGCGAAAATGGGCATAGAATGAATGCTGGTCGTACTGCAGTGTACTCAGGGTTGTTCATCCGTGGAAGAAACATAATCCCAAAATGTATCATGGAACTTATGGGAGGTTTTACATAAAGTTCCCATGCAATGAAAAAAATATTAAGATTAAATGCAAATTTTACTAAACTCAATCAAAATGCATGATGCAAAACGTTTCTGACAGAAATAAAAAGGACTGCACATAATGTTGGCACATTTATGACACATTAATATTCCCACTGTGGCATAGCAGACATCTTTTTCCCCACAGCTTGCAGAACTTCGCCTCAGAGCCAGAACTCATTCTCTTTCATGTCACATTATTTCTCTTTTAGAAAAAGTGTTATTGTCTCTAGTAAAAGGCTTCTTATAGTTTCTTTCCAAGGACATTCTATTATCTAATTCCTATGCTGGCCTTCTGTCTCTAACGGAGGAGGTATAGACTAGAGCCGGCCTCCAACACAGAACAGTTCTTTTCAGGACAGAACCTTGATCATGTTACATGTGGTGCCCAACGTGGGTCTCTGTCTAAAAAGTTATCACTATGGCAGATAGGATTTGATAACCTTAAGAGAACCTTCTCTCTCTCAATCTGTGGCCATACAATGAGAGGCCAATTCATTACAACAGAGAGCTCAAGATGCCCTGCAGGCACAGCCCTCTGTCATCCAGGTGTTGGCAGTCTCACAAACCAGATGTCTGCAGGAACAAGTCCAGGTTACCCAGGAATTGTGCTATCAGATGGTGGATCACATGATTCTTACGGGGCTGGAGCCAGAGAGCTCCACTCAACTCCAGTTTCAACTAACCCATGTCCTGCAGAAGATGATTCCTCAGGGTGACATGGAAGCTTACCCGAGGGCAACTGAGCGAACCGCTGAACATCTTAACAGGGACCCGTCCCTTTGGGCAAGCATTATAGCCCCCTTCTTGTACAGAGAGATGCAAAAAGCTTATTATGACCTCCACAGCACCGCTGCCTCAAACTTTACAAGGCTAACGGTGGAAATTCTTTCTCATACAGACAAACCCCAGGAATGGCTATTTCATTATCCGAAGCACTTCAGAACTTCACCATTGTAACCCTTAGACTGAAGATCAGGAAGAAATCCAGACCCAAAGCTGGTGATTCAAGCCCAAGGAACACCCAGCGGTCTAGCGGTCTAGACCTGAGAACCCAAGAGCACCCCCTATTCAGAAACTGTACTCTTAATTCGTAAAACAACAGGAGCACTAATCAACTCAGTGCTTCTTATAGTTTCTTTCTGAAGACATTCTATCAACTTAAAGGAGATCCTTAAGCTGGCCTTCAGTACCTAACGGAGGAGGTTAGACTAGAGCTGGCTACAGACGCAGAACAAATCTCTTCAGGTCAAAACCTCCATTGTGTTACACCACCCATAATCAACTCAGAAGAAAGTTAAAAAGATGGGGCCTGTTCTTTCAAAGAAATTGAACCAAATGTGGCATCAACAGCCACAGACAGATCCAATACTCCCCAGAAGTACTGTTCTGGATTCCCATTAGGTGAACAGAGTGACCAGTTCATCACGTGCATGGTGTGCTCTGTCAGAAACTCCCACAGATATACACAGTACAACATGTGGCTCTATTGCCTTTATCCAAGAGACATCATCTTACTGTATGGAGCCTGATCAGGCCACAGTTTGTCCAGGCATCTCTGCAGCAGTTCAGGATCTATGACTATATCCACCCTGGACATGCCCCTGATACCAATGTAGCTGTTCTTGGTTATGAGTTGTACTCATCTAAATATAAGTGGCACATTTGACAGGAGAACACCAAAGTATCGGTTGATCCTAGATATTGTCAACCCTACCCTCATTTTCCCCAATGACCACTACCATCCTACCTTGAGGAACTTATAGTATTTTGGTTCATCCTTAATCAGTCTATGTTTCACTATATTTTGTACCCACAGTCACAGGAGCAGTAGCATATGAACATTATACTCGCATTGTATGGAGTGTTTCACTTTTTGATAACTGGTTGTTCAAAAATAAAGTGGACGAAATTATTTTTTACTGATAACTTGCAAAAACTTTTTGAGAACTATTAGAAACAAAATCATCTGTTGCATTTTAATGCCTTTCAGGAACAATATTTAAGAAAATACAACTTTTAATGTTTGCTGTTTTAATTTTCAAATTAATTTGGTCTTTTACAAACATCAGTGATAAAAACGTTATGAATTGTACTTAGGTTTTGTTTAAAAAAAACACTTACCACTAGCCAACACAATATGTACTGGAAAACATTAAAACAAATCACTTTTCTAGATAATTTTTTTGCACAGTATGTGAAACATTTTTAACACTTACCTCTCAGATTTTCCAAAGGGTCATAGCATCCTTCCTCTTCTCCAACAAAGAACCGATCACAATCCAGAAAATAGGGCCAGGCCATTTTGATGCCTTCGAATGCATGTATGCAGTTTTTCCTCACTGATTCACAGGTACTCCGACAAGGCTTCATGATCTTGCCATTTTCACACCGGGGAGCAATGATGGAGCAGCCCAGCATCCTTATATCAGGCGTGCACTCGCCATTAAGCAAAGTGTGAATGACACTGAGAAGAAGGTATTCTGTCCCCATCTCTAACTCCTCTCTGTTTTTATTGTCCAGCAGATTGGGGAATAGGGTTTTGGAGTAAGGCATATCATCACAGTAGCCCAGTACAATGTTAGTACATTGTGCTGGAAACACGGGAGGCAGAAACAATGATAAAAAGGATAAAAAGTTGAAGAAAGACAAAGTTAGTAAGAAATAAGCTTGTATTTGTTGTTTGATCACCCAGATTCGCAAAACATGTTTCTTTTTCCAACAGCACAACTTATTCATAGACTAACTGTCACAAAAAGATGTAATAATAATTAAAGACAGAATATTAATCTGTTTTTTGTATTCATGAATGACTTCGTCATTATTCTGTGAGATTATGTGATCAGATGTTGAAATATGAGGCAATGTCTTCAAAATAAATATTCTAACTGCTCATTTTCTTTTCTTATTCCTCTCCCTATCTTAGCTTGATAACGTCTGCAGGAGTAAGTTTTTTAAAATCGTGGCCTATACCATGAGCAATGTATCAGGTTTCAATCAGGGTTATTTGATGGCAACATGCCTGCCTTGACAAAGCACAGACAAAAATGTCAGAGGGCACCAGCCCAATCTCTTGAAGACTGGTGGAATGCTCTAGATAGTTTTCTGCTTAACATCCAGGAGAGTACTGTAATGCTAAACCTGTCACCCTACACCCCCACTTTTCCTTTTATGTTGTAACTCATTCCACAATATACAGTATATTTAAAGCCCTTCACCAAATACTATATTCTAATTAGGTACTGTAATTATGACATATGGTTTGTTTTTTAAAGATTGTGAATCATAGCTCTACATTAAAAACACATTAAAAGGTATGTGTCTTGTCAGGGAAACCCCTATGGCTCAGAGATAAAGCCCATTAAGACCCCCATTGTGTTGTCTGAAGTTATTTATAGATAGCAAGGCATGCTGCATCTTGCAATTACCCTAAGTCTCTCAAAGAGTCACGTACCCAGATGTTTTTTCAGTCTTCCTTTGCCTCTGAGCTATAGTACACGTACAATGTATAATGTTTTGGCTTATATCCACACAGAAATAAAAAATGCAAACCAATTCCCTTAGAGATTTTGAGGATGAATGATATCTGAAACAGCTACAGAATAACTTCTTATAGTTGCAGATCATTAGCTGCACAAATCATTACCACAGAGTATTTAAGGTAGTGAGATTCTTTGGTTACTTGCCTTTTGTTTCTGTAATTGGTATTTTTCTATAATTTCAATTTACCTTTGTTGTTATTTCCATTACCTTTGTCTCAATTGAAGAGATTAATGAAAGAATATGAGATCATCTTATAGCACTACCATATACTATGGACAATAAGCTACATGGCAAAAAGTTATAAATAAAATAATGATTCTTTAGCACACTTACTGTATATTCAGGCTACAGTAGCATTCATTTAGCATTCAGGCCATTCTTGACACTATGTAATTATCTTTTTTGGAACACAATATTGAAAGCAAAAGAATGCCTCACATTACTAAAAATCTAAACACAGCTATACTATCAAAAGGTGAAAAGTGTATGTAAAAATATAAAATTTTGCCAATGAAATGTTAAAATGAATGCACACAAACATGCCCTGTTATTACCAGATTGTCTGATGACTTAAAAGCACAATATTTTCTATCTAAAGGCTACATCATACATTATGCAAATTGGTACACTACTTGCCAAAAACAAAACGTACGTTTTTCTTCAACTGGAATTCGGCATCGCCCTAAAAAACATAAAATAATGAATATTATGATTACAGATTACCTTGGTGTAAACATCAGTTTAAACACTAGGTGGCAGAAGAGCTTTTTTGTGAAGCAGACCTGTTTAGAAAATCTTTCTGGTGTTGGTGTTTTCTGTTAGAGAAATGTTCGAATGCAATAATATTACATACCTAAATAAATTACCAATAACATGTTTTCATCTGCAATACTGCAAAAGTGTAAATATAGTAAAATGCAAACATTTTCAATGCAATGTAGCCTGTAGTATGAATACAATACTTAAATATTTCAGGGGTATTTAGAATTCAGTCTCCTTATTTATCGTGAAGGACAGGCACACCGTTGTTTTTCAATCTACAGTGCTTAAATTAACTGTATCTGGGCGAGATTGACTTTTTGAAATCAATCTCCTTTTGAAGCTGGGTAGTTCATTAGGTCATGCTTACAGAAAATTGTCTTTGTTACAAAACGCCTTTTTGATTAATTTTCTGTAATGTCTGAAAATATGCATGTAAAATCTTCTTCTTCTTTCTTCTTTTTCACAGCCTTAGTCCCAGACTGTCCTGGGGTCAGCTGAAAATATGCATGTAAAATCAAAAGGAAAAAATAATCGAGTCGATGAAGGTGTACAGTATGTGTGTGTGGGAGGGATCACAACTTTAACCTCTTGTAGAAATTGAAAAATATATTCCTCGTTGCATTTTGATCGAATACAGTATAGGGAGACAGAAAACTAAATGATACCGACAGTCCTTATAAGATTTCTAATTTGTTTAGCTAATATAGGAATTCTTGTGATTCCTTCCTGTGGCTTGACTCGGTTCGTTTCTTCCCGCTGAAGTTCTGCGGTTTTTGCTTCATACTTCTATGCCAGGGATGGACTGTACCCGTTACTTTGTGCATCACAATCGCACTTCTGTGGAACGTGATTACATCAACAGAAATGTTGTAATAAATGCAGAATCAACACGGTCCATATAAAGAACTAGCTCAATGGAACTGGAAGGGATCACATCCTTCTACAACAGCATTTTATTCCACGTTTGACATATTTATTAATTGATGCAATTAAAATGGTTGTTTTAAACGATTACACTAGTAAAGGAAACGCAACCTTGGTTCTTTTATTACGTTTATCTCACACAATTAAACACACTATGATGAGCTGAATTTTAAATTTGCTTAATGCACACACCAGTTTCACTTACTTAACTCCTCATAATCGACGAGATATGATCAATTCAATTGAATAATTCAGTTATTCCACAGCATCTACACTATACCTTTCATCAAGCAATTTATTCGGGCCTATCGGTATATCTGAATAATCGTTTATACTGGACAAATAACAAAAGAAACTGATTACATATTAATTTAGTGTTAATACAATTAATTGTACGTGACGTATAAAAATGTACACGATCACATCTCCTAGAGTTATTTTTAATCATTCTATAATCTTAGTTAAGGGCGTTTGTTCGCCGACAAAATATAGTAATTAAAACTCACGACGATACTGATATTCTAATAAGAAGCTAAATGTATTCTTGTCATTTGGATTCTGTAAAGACATTAAACTGCTAATCCTGCATATAGAATTAATTAATTCCGTCTATCACCCACGGGCATATACAATGTGTTATTAATAAATCTAGAAAGTGTTACAGCACTATGCTCTGACAATGAGAGTAACATCTGTTTTTCGCGTCCCACAACCCTGTCTTCTTTCTCGTTTTAACTTGAGTCCTACAAATAAAATAAACCAGCGCCCGGTTAAGTTTTGAAGCACATATACTTTACCAAGAATTGCGTCTCCAGGTTCGCAACGAGGTGGGGCACTCCAAACAATTGAAGCCAGTAAATTAAGAGCAAAAACAATTGAGTTCATTTTGATCCGTTTGTATCCCATATGCATTGTGATGTGGCACTCACATGGATGCACTCTACGCTTTTAATTACTGCAGAAACTTTTTTTTTTCAGTTCACAGACTTCTCTTTCAAAAAAATGTCTCTTTACTACAAGTATTACGGTCACCGATCATATTACACCAAGACGTGCTAGACGGAAGAGGAGTGAAATGTAGTGTTAACATGTATTTTAAACAATGGTTAAAAGTTAAAAATACATGGGTATTTAATTCCATGTTTTTCTTTTCTTTCTGAAATAGTTTTTTTTTTAGAATATTATACCAGGAGCCGTGTACGGGACAGCTTTTGACAGTCCAGACACAACAAAGAAAGAAAAACAGGAACCAAACCTCCACACAGCTTGAGTGTGGTAATGTAATTGCTGGGTATGTCTCTCCAAGATTCTCTTTTAAGAAGAATCCTGTTTCCCCTGGAGTGTGCTCAACAGATTTTGACCTTGCAGTAGAAAACACACGAAAGTATTTTACTGTTTTATTATTGTATGATGCATGTTGGCATCTTTGTCAATAAATATAAGCATTGGGCACAATATTTGCCTATTCATGTGTCAAATTCGTCAGACACACCCTCTCTGGATCTACATTAACATCATGTTTTAAAGCCATTGTGTACTGTAGTTTTCCTAGATTTTCCTGATAAATAAGTCATCCAATTCTGTTTGGTATAACCTGCATCTTGAAGTGCTCATCCTTGTCCTTGTCCTAGCACTTACAGTCTGTCAACTTTGAACAAGGCTAGCAAGAAAGAATGTTGCATGCAGCGTCTCATGGGGTTCTATCCCTGCCCCTCAAATGTGTAACCTCGTGATTTCCTTCAGGTAACTTGATTCAACACTTCAGTCCCCTGTGCCTTTCCTACACTGATGAATTCCACATTTGCTTGAAGATCAGACATGGATGCAAAAAGAAATAGAATCATGCAAAGTTTGGCACTTTGATCTGAATGACATTAACTGGCAAAACCAAACCAAGCTTTTCAATTTGGAAAATATCAGCTTCTGCTATCCTGTAAATTCTACCACCAGCAGAGTGGCTTTCAGTTAATGCACACTCACCCACTCAACTGTGAAATCTTCATTCCAACACTTACTGTACAGTAAGTCACACTGCAGATGTTTGATATTATCACTCTGTTACAAAGTTTACTTGTGATGCCCTTATCATCTTCCAACTTGTGTTGGTGCCATATTGCATTAAATAGACATTTATCCATCCATTTTCTAATCACTTTCTTAACCATTACAGGTCACTGGGGGAGCAGGAGCCTAGGTGCAAGGACAGTTTCACCCTAGACTGGATGCCAATCACAGGGTGCACACAGACACAGTCTTACAATGTCTTTGTACCGTGGAAGGAATCTAGTGCACCCAGAGGAAACCCATGCATGCACGGGTGAGAACATGCGAACTCCATAGAGACAGCACCTCAGGTCCGGAACTGAACCCAAGGCCCTAACGCTGTGAGGCAGCAATGATATCTACTGCACTACTCTGACACCCTAAATGGACATCCATTTCACCCATTTTTCAAGATTCAGAATTCACCTTGTACAGTAGCTCTATTTGGAATTAACCTACTGCACATAAACTCATGGCTACACACCCTGCACCAAGCTCATCAACAGTGATTTCCCACAGAGACTTTAATTATATTCAAGACTCTACAGTGCATCTAACTTGTTTTCTGCATCATTCCCAAATACATACCCAAATACGTCTTTACTCAGCTGATCTTATTTTATAAATTATGGTCATAATTGCAAATGACTGCAAATTTATACTAAAATCAAAAGCTAAAAATGATTTATTCCATTAATTCCATATTTTATGTTGTTTTCAGTGTTGTTTACTGCATTAAACCAACCAAAAAGTCCACAAATAACTAAACACTTTAAAATAAATTTGTTTTGAAGAGAGATGTACATTCAATTACATAAACAAAAGTATGCAGAGTCTTTTAAGATGATATGTCCAAATAAAATACTATAAAGGACAGAATGTTTTAGGTCCTCATAACTAAGAAACGTCAATGTTCAAATAATAACAAATACTATACTGTATCTTCTCTTTGGAAGAAAAGTCCCTTCATAAATAGGAGCTGCTTCCCTAGTCTCTAATTCCTTTGGATTCCTTTGTATGTGGATCTTTAAATCAGCAGAAAGCTGCTGTGCTGTAAGCAAATCATTTTAGCCAGGGTACCCCTACAATAGATATCAAAATAGGCAAAGTGTCCTCTGACCAACCCAGAGTTGAGTTTACAGTTGCTCTGTTATCTTTGGCCCTCCATTTACTTAGGAGATGAAGTGGTGGTATGATAACAATGTAAGCTGTTAAAAAAGGCCTTCACAGTCCTGAGAAAAGAAACACAGCAGATATGTGAACAAACTACAGTAAGCAAGGTCGTAACAATACAACAGTGAACATCTGTACAAGGATATTTACAAAGCTTTATTGTACTTGTACTTGTATGGTTTTCCTCTTGAAATGTACGAGAAGACATCATATGATTCAAGGTCATAGTTGTTTTTGCTTTCAAATATTTTTTAATGTTATATCTCAAAAGCAGCAAAGTGGATATGTTGCAAATTAGTTGAATGGAATTACACTGACAAACCAAAGGTACATAAATGTACAGAGATTACCATAATCTGGCACAAAATATATGTAAAACAAAACAAATTAATAGTACAATATTTCCTACACAATCTTTGAATTCTTCTGTTAATTCTTTCCTTAATAATAACTGTTTAAGCAAATAAATGATATTGTTTTCACGCAATTCAGTGCAAACATGATAACCTAATGTTTTATACAGCATATAAGCATCATTGTATAAACATTTAAGTTTCAGCAAAATAATAAGAATACAAATACATTTCAGTTTTAACAATCTGGCATTACATTCGATTCTAACATAAGCTTTGATACAATGAAAAACTAATATTTGCCTTTGGCTTTTTCTTGCAAGTATTGACTCTGAAAGACAAAGTGCATTGAAATCCAGTAAAGAAAATAGATAGGGGGATATCCAGAGTATGTGTTTTGTCAGATAAGCAGAATGTTCTGGAGATATAAAACAACAAGTTTTGCCCTACACAAGCAGACTGTTTTCACAAAAAATACTAATACATGTATTATCTTTGCAGTTGAATAGATTCGAGCTACAAGCTGTAAGCTACAGCACCACACTTAGCTATAGCACTGTACTGTATTTGTGCTTGATCTACATCCTCATTGGTCATTTTCAAGTGATCCGCAACTGGCAGAAGACAAAAAGGCTTCAGCCTTTGACCACTTAATAAGAATCGCCTATTACTGTATATTAATGATATTGTAATGGATTGCTCCAGACAGATATTTAATGCTTATATTTCCTTAAACATTGCTTATCTTGCAATCATCCAGAATTGTAATTGAGAACTTTAAATGGCACATGCATTTCAGATGCTTGTGCAAGATGACACACTCTTTCCTTCAAGAAAAACTCATGGATTCTGAATGCTTGCCCTTCTAAACATTTTAACTAGGCGAAAAAAAATCTGAATCAAGGTGTTATACACCTTGTTTTTGGCATTTTCACATCATTTTCTCTAAATCAGTTTCATAACAAATATGAAGAATGCATTTCTGTAATTATTTCAAAGACCATGTACACTACCATCTCTATCACCATATTTCTGTATTGAGTAGCTTATCCTTTTACAGTTCTGTTAGCTGACTCTTTGGAGACAGTAATCATTCTCTGTGTCCAAAGAGCTGTTGTGCCCAGATGAAGGATACAGATCTCTTTTAAGAATCCTGTTGACAATATTAACCAAGACCTTCTTGTACTGTTGACGCAGAAGAGAATAAACAAATGGATCTGATGCAGCCTTGCTGTATGTGAGGCACTTACTTACAATTCCCCAGTGGTGATTTACTGTTATAAATGGAAGGAGCTCTATCAGTCTGTGAAAAAGCATAAAAGAAAAGCTACATTAATAAAGCATGTAAGATATACTGTATTAATCTGCTAGAACTTTGAAATATAGACACAGATCAAGAAGCAGCACTAAATAGAATATTTTATGTGACAAGAAGTCATGAAAAGCAAGTTCTATAATACAATATACATGAAAGTACCATACCTTATTTGCACTCCATGCCATATACAGTATTTGAAATCCTTGTTAAGTCCCTGTACTGAAATACTGCCACTTCATGTTGATCAGAAAATATCACATTTTCATTATAATCATTATATATGTGCATGTTTGAAGGCACTGTTTGTATGTTGGTTTAACTTGAAAGTACTGTGGTATTAATTGAAATTGAATACCTTACAAACAAAAATCTCTCTGAAAATATTGCCTTGAATTCTAGCTGAGTGTATTTTTGCAGAAGATAAATTATTCCAATAAGCTCCCCCTAAAGTAAATTTTGTTGATTTTAAAACTGCTTGTAAACAGTTGATCCACAGAATAATTAAACAATTGAACAGTTAAAAGCTGAGTGAACAGGCATTGGATTTAATTCTTAAAACAATGTAATCTGAATCTGAAATACTTGTTTTCATTGAGAAAGAAAACTTGAAGGAAAAACAGTTATGCAAAGCTTTCAAGTAAATATACTTTGGGGGCAATATTTTTGGGGGCATTCATATCAACAATTGGTAATGCCCATATCAATACATTCCACTCACAGTTGTCCACTTTATTTTATACAATCATATTAGAATGTTTTATCAGGTGATACATATTAACTAATAATAACGCAGTAACAGCGCCCTCAAAATTACTGATTATGTGGACGTTTTCTATTATTTTACTTTTTTTTAGAACGTCTAATCAACTCATTATGCAAAAGGAGACTCTTTACACAATTAATTTAACAGTGTAGACTAGTTTGATAGAAACACAAGCAAAAGTAACTTGTTCTCGTTGCCACCAGTCTTTGAAATGATTACTCACCTTGTAATAATATATGGGGCGAAACAGATAATAAACGATCCTATAAAAATGCTGATTTTCTTAGTAGCACGCTGTCTCCTCTTTTTTTGTTCAACGAGGCAACGTTGTTTAACACTGAAAACATTTAGAACATGTTATTAGTATGAAATAATTTCTGCTTATATATGTTTGAACGTGAACAAATACTTTTTTTTTTTAGGCAAGCGTTTGATTAAACAGTAAAAAAGTCAATATTGTCTTCGTCCAATTTAAATAAGGAAAGATAGAGGTGCAGATATTGGTTAAAAAACACAATGCTTTAAATCGTTTTATATACAGTTAAACAGTAATTTAGCTTTCCGTATTTCATCCATATACACACGCGTTATTACTGCATGTCCCGTAGATTGAAATGAATTAATCACGAAGATATATAGTTGCTACGATTAGTGAAGTTGACAATGAGGTATTGTATATGATTTTTGGGGCGATTCTAACATCAGGCTTTGAAGCTTGCCAAAGTTTTTGAAAACACACTAAATACACCAAAAGTAAGCTTGCATAAATACCTTGGGTGAATATCTACCAGCAAGAGTAGAGTCTGCATGGTAATAATGTCTATCCTCTTGCAGTGAAACCTTGCAACTTTTAAAACCTTTAAGTATGTGAAGCACAGTATTAGTAGGGAAAGCATGAAACTCGTGGCATGGAACACGATGGTAAATACAGTGAACTTTCTCCTTTCTCTTTCTTCTTTTAAATGTAAGGTGCAAGATGCATAGATTTGGTTATAGTCAACCCAAGAAAAAAGCAGCGAGATGAGAGAAAAGGTAAGAGAATGAAACCATGAGTAGCACACCATGATTACTGCGTCCTTGTATCTCATTTTACTTGAATAACTCAGTGGAAACACTACAGCAATCCATTTATCTATGCTTAAAGCAGCCATGCTTAGCATCGTGTTTGTAGTCAAGAAAGTCTCCAGAAAGCTTACAGTTTGGCAGATCCAATCTCCAAAGGGCTGATGGTTTTTGATAATCCCGAGTAAAGTGGACGGCATGTTGAAAACAGTAATAAGTAAATTGCAAAAAGACAAGTTCATGATAAAAATACCCGGGACTTGTTTGCGAATCTCGGTGCTGTAGATGAAACATAACAACACTAGTAAGTTCGATACCAAAGAAACAATCACTACCACGACAATAAACAAAGCCAAAAGAATTTCTGGCAAGTCCATTTCTTAATCCGAAATTACAATAGAGGATTGTCTTCAGTCGTTGAAAACAAATATTCGAACGCTATCTCCTGCATGCCCCTCCGTTGTACCTCTTTGACACTTCTCATACTCTTAATTAACTCCTGCAACTCAGCTTTCGGGTGGAGCTGTCCGGCGTGCTGAACACAGAGAATCGAGTTCCTTTGTGCAGACGAACCATTAAGTTCTTGAAGCTTGTCACCTCCTTTCTCAAGCAGGTACCGGTTTAGTCCAAATATTTACTGCATGAGTATCAAAGTATAAAGTGCTTTCTGGTTTAAAATAAAAGACCTGGTGCCTTTTTCACATTCTTCTGCCGCTGTGACTTCTTCAGTGTGAAAAGCCCGAGAAAAGCTTTGTGACACGTTTATCAGCGCCTGTTCACACGGGTCATGCGCAAAAGATGTTCAATAGGGTAACAGCAGACATGACAAATCTTTGTAAAATTTTAATGACCCGATCACTTTTAAGTGTAAAAGTATGCTGATGTGAAATGACTCTTTTGCAATTAGTATACAAAAAACAAAGCCTGACATACCGAAATGAAAAAGGAGCAAACGAATACATTAAATAAGATAGTGCCCCGTTCATTCATTTTATGTGAATCAACAACGTTCGTTTAATTATAGAAATTTGATTTACATGATTTTAATAGTACGTTAAAATGTACTATTAAATGTGCTAAAATAGTTCCTGCATTTAAACACGACTATGAATTGAGCTGTGTGCAGATGTGGGTGCTGGATGTCATTAAAACCATTTTCCTTCCCTAGTGTAAACAAGACGCCATTGACTGCACGGAGTTAAAAATAGGATCCTATTGTGACGACGGAGAAGTGTGAGAAATCCACCACCTGTCATACATTACAGCGCTAAACAGCTGGTCGACCGGGTGAAATCTATCGATTCAACACGTTCTGAAGCGAAAATCAGAGTTTAATAGATGTATTAATACAATACATAGAAAACTAAGTACTTTCAGAATCTTCCCAGCAAGTTCCTGTCCACTACTTTAAGTAAGACAAGTGAACTAAGTAGAAGCTACTGTGCAAGGACACCTGTCACGTTTAAGGTTCAATGGCCAGTTTTTAGAAAGAGCAGTTATAACATAGTAAAACATAACAACATAAAAAAACAAAAGAACAACAAGATTTGTTTCAACAACATAGATTGGTAGCTTAGTCCACATTCCTATAACCCATTGTGCAAAGGAAGCACCTCCTGTTTGCAGTTTTAAATGTGCACCCTCTTAATGTCCTTGATTACTGGTTGCTGTTTTATTGTTTTTTTTCTGAAGATGTCCATTGGGATTACTTTGTCAGTTCCTTTGAGGTTTTTTAATACTTTAATCAGGTCCCCTTTAATAATCGCTGCTCTCTGCTGAAGACTAAAGTGGTTGTTTATTTAGATTGTCAGTGTAGGGCATTCCTTTAATTCCCAGAAAGTGTATGTTGTTTTTCTGATTCCAGAGCAGTAATATCTGTTGTGTAGCATGGTGACCAAGCTTGTACACAATGTTTGACACAAGTCTTACATACTGTAGGTACGTTTCAATTGAATCATTAGATAATTTCAGGGGATTGTAATAGAGACTGGTTAAACAAGATTTCAGCTACAGACAGAAGAGTTTTATTTTAACCCAACTAGTTAAAACACTGACTAGAATCAATCCTCAAACTCAAAATGGAACTTTACTTCACTGGATACTGGTGACAAGACCTGATAGAATTGTAAAATTGTGAATCCTCATAGATTGCTTCAGAAATCATTTTACAATATACTGCTGCTGGAAAATTAAGATCCCACCAAAAGTACCACCAAAACTGGCAATAACAGCAACAACATTACAGAAATAACAAAATAAGTCTTTCATTTGTGATTTAATTAATATTAATTGAAAAAGATTTCAGTTACTACCAACAATCAAAGAGTCATGGGACTATCTCTGCACATGCAGAAGTTCACAATAGTCTGTGACAGACATTCACCTTGGAGGACATTCGAAGTCAAAGGAAGAATTTAATACACTTTTCTGATTGGGAGATTCGTAGGCGTCCAAACCTTGTTTTACAAAACCAAAACAAGAAATGCTAAGGCCTTCTATTTGAAAGATGTTAAAGTCTTGCCTTAAAAAAATTAAAAATCTAAACATTTTCTAGAAATCTGCAAATAACCCCTTTAACAAATCCAGCAATAAGCTTATTCAGCAGACAACCGTCAATGACAGTTTCATTGCTGAGCCCTTGCACATTCAGTAGCTGACACGTTTATTCAGCATTTTGTATCTGAGATCACTTCTTTTTCTGATCAAACTTAATATACTTTTTCTAAATGTACAGTACTCATCACCAGAATACCAGTCATAAAAAAATGATATTTCAGTTTTAAATAATGAAGCAAATACAGGTTTTGTGTCTTCTTCATGACTTAAAAAATAAGAATTAAGTAAGGATTAATAAAGGACCCAGTTTAGATGGACTAGAACCAAATGTTATTAAATGAGCTGATTATAAATTAATGTGCCCTATTACAGTTTAGTTTAATTTGTCACTAGCAACTGGTGAGATTCCATCTGTATTGAAATGTGTTAGACTCAGAACCCCCCCTTTATAAAGGTGATAACTCTTGTCATTTAAATAAGTAAATATTACTTTCCCAGATATCTGATTATTTTAACGAGTTCAATTTTTAGCACATTTCCAGTCTGGTTTCAAGCTATTCAACCATGACAGCACTACAGAGATTAACTAATGACACTTAAATCCTCTCCTGATAAAGGTAAATTAACTGGAGTCATTTTATTTGAGTTTTCGAAACATTTAGATTTCATTGATCATAGTATACTTTTACCAAAGTTTTTTTTTACCTAGATTTGTCTGATTTGGTTTAATGCATACCTTTCCTGAGTGCAATTATTGAACATGTATCCAAATTTCTTGAATTACATAGACATACAGTATCTCATAAGGTTCAGTTTCATATCCTTTGTCCGTTACTGTTATAAAGACTTAGTCTTTTTATAGAAAAAAATGAGCATTCATTTATAGTACTGTATATGCAGATGATACCATGTTTTACTTTGCCATCTCCAGTTTAGCACATACAGTACTGTATGCACGTTTTCATACAAACTGATTTGGATTTGGTTCAAAAGTTGTTGTCTATAAATAATTTGATTTGGTAAGGAAAAATCTTATAACATGTTATTTGGTACAAGACAAAGGCTGAGAACTGTTAAAAATGTTTATCATTCATACCAGTAATGGCTCAGCACTTGGAAAGTGTGATTACATAAAATACTTAAGTTTCAGAACTGACTTTCAATTATATTTTTTAAAATATATTGATTATCATAAAAAAAAATATTTATCCCACTTGGGATACTTATTAGGTCCAAAGATTGTTCTACGGTGAACATTAGAAATACACCTGTGACCCAGTAACTGTTGCCTATCTATTAAATCTATTAGATTTAGTGACAGAATTTAAGGGAATGTATCTAAGACTCAGCTGTCCACCCTGGCCTATAATAATCTATAACAATTTATTCTTGGATGTTCATATAGAGCTCACCATTGCTCACCATTGCTAAATGTACAAAAAAGTTAAATGGTCATCATTTTTCAACAGGTGACAATTGCCCAATACCCGTTTCCTTTCAAATGTATTCATGAACTTTAAGATAAACTGAAAAACATTAGTTTAACATTCCTCCAGTACATCTTGTGGTAGGAAAGAACAAAGATCACAAAGATTAATTGGTACAGTATGTTTTTTAAAAAAACTAATAATGTATTTAGAAACACAATGTTCTTGTAATAATTATACACTTTAATACAACACTTATTTGTTGTATAAATATTGTATATAGTACATATTCTAACAGATCCCCCTTGAAACAGAATTATGCATCTTAAGAGCTTTATCCTGTCAATAATGTTTAATAAGATTTATTACATGTATTTATTATTATTAACATTTATTACTAGCATTTCAAGCTCAGTGTTTCTTGTTTTTAAGATCATCTTTACTCCTCCGCGACCCTGAATTGGATGTTAGAAAATGATTGGTTGGAGATCAGATACGAATCATATCCTACCTGCATCCCAAGAATTCAAGCATTTCCCCGGCCACCATCAACAAACTGGCACAGTACATTGAAAATGGAATCAAAGGAAGACCAATTTTTGGAGAGAAATGGAGATAAGAATGGCTCTGCCTACTATATACTGAAAGTGGAAAGGGAATGCTTCACAGTGGACTCCACAGGGATAAGTGGAGTGGGATGGTGGAGTGAGGTTGAAATGAGGAAAGCAGCAAGTGTGACATGTCCACATGTTACTGTTCTATTCAGAGTTTACACTGCCTGTTTTGCAAGTGGTCTGTGCAGAAAAGAGGAGCTCTCCTACTTGTCTGTTAATGAACTACAGTAGCTATGCAGGCTGAGCTTGATACGACCAGCAATCAGAAACCTGTTACCAGAAAATGTTCTAACCAGTCCCCAGCGCCGGCTAATTCCACAAAGCACTGCTGCACATGTTAATCAGCCATGCTGTATGTTTTCAGAATGTTTTCAAAGAATCAAATGTTGATTTAAATGGGATCTCCTCTTGATTGCAAAAATGAGACAGTTTGACAGCGAAAAAACAAATCAGTGCATTGACTTTCCATAAACTCGCTTTACAAATGGAACTCATTGAAGTAATCAATTTTTGAAACTCAGAAATGACAAGCAAAAAAAAAGTCTAAACAACCATCAGCCGTCAGTTAGGACTAGAGATTTAGAGCAGAGAATCCTTGTAAGTTCTCTAATCTCAGAAATCATTAATTAATCAGCATAGGAACTGTGATAGATTCTACAATTAGAAACTAAATCTATAGATTTTATGTGCAAATGAATATGTTGATGCAATGTAAGTGAAAGACAATTAAAAATTCATATATGATCTTCAGGTATATTAGGAAAAAACATTTCATTTAGTGAATTAGTGCAACAGTGTCTGCCAGATGTACTGGATTGATTTATTTTGCAAAACCTACATGTTATTATTGAACTGCACTCAAAAGATAAAAGATTGCAATAGTCTGCAAACTCTCAATAACATACAAAGGAAATGTCGAAGCTTGACACTTTTGAGAGGAAGTTCTCTTAAAAAATGCAAAAAAATAAAAAAAATGGAGCAAAGATTTATAATACTGTACAAAGTCCATTCAAAGGTAGGTGCATTCCTCAATAAATCAAATAATAATAATTTTAAAGCATTTAAGTAGTTACTAATGAATCTAAAGATATAAATGTTTTCTGTTTTTGTTTTACAAAGACAAACAAGCATTGTTGTAATTGACTGTACACAATAATTGGCGCCAGTTAATCTAGTAGATACAGTTTATCTGACAGAGAATTAACTCTCAGTGACACAGGACATCATGAAATGTTGAAGTGTATTTTAAGTGAATGTTAAAAATACATGGCTGGGTCTGTCTCAGATTATGTCAGTTGCATGATCAAGGCACATAATGACATTTATTGAGGCCTGTTGTCAGATTCCTTAGTTCTTGCAAGTAACATACTGTACAGTATGAGCACATGCATTAATTTTTAGAAAGCTGACAACCTTGATGCAGCTGTGAAAAGAACTTTAAACATTGTTCAAAAAGGAATGTACAGTATGTTTAAAAAAACATTGAGAGACGCAGCCTAACAGGAAGCCTGTTCTCTAATCATTTGGATGCCTTTTGAGC